CCCCGGTGCTCATGCCCAGTCCACCTTGTACTCCTGCAGAACCTGCTGACCTGTGGCGGTAGGTGTGACATTAGTACTTTCTATTGGGACTTTGAATCTATCTGCCAGGTTACTTTCCTGTCTTTTTTTTTTTTTTTTTTTTTTCCTGTGTCCTTTTAAATTCGTAGTCCCTGTGGGCATCCAGGCTCCATGGTCTGTCATCTCATTTTTGTATTCATCTATAAAACTCCTGTATACATACGCGTATATACCTATATATGCATTTAGTGCTTTGAATTTCCCTCTAAGTGCTGCTTTTTCTGTATCCTACAAATTTTGCTAAGTTGTTTTCATACAGTGCAGATTTTTAAAAATTTCTCCTGAGACAATTTATTTGTTCCATGTATGATTCAGAACTATGTTGCCCAACCTCCAAATAGTTGGGAATGTTCCAGCCATTCATTTGTTACTGACTTCTAGTTTAGCTTCTCCTGGGAGAGAGCTTACTTCGTGTGATTTATATTCTTTGAAGTTTACTTAGGTGTGCTTTATGGCCCAGCGTGGTCCCTCTCCGTGCATGTTCCAGTGAAGAGTGTGGCTTCTGCGTTGCTGGGTGGAGTGTTCTGAAAACTCCATTAGATCCAGGTGAACGCTAGTGCTGAGCAGTCATGTGTGTCCTTCCTGAGTGCCTGCTTGAGTTGCCAGTTGCTGACTTCAGTCTTCAAGTCTTCAGAATGGCTTTGTCCATCTCTCTTTGTAGTTTTTTCCTTCCTCCTCCCATCTATACACTTCTTTCCCTGGGACACATGGTAGTGTTGGTGTTGGGTAGTCAAAGACATGAACATTAGGGTTAGATAGACTTGGCCTCAAATCCCAGTTCTGGAACTGCCCAGCTGAGCACACCCGGGCGGGCCACTTGCCTGCTCTGAGTCCCCATTTTCGCCTCTAAAACTGAGTGCTTAGCTGGCACATTGTAAGTTTTAAGTCACAGAGCAGTCTGTGTGGCCTCTAACATGTGGCATGTGGAAATGCCAGGTCTACATCATGGAGGTGGCTGTAGTAATAAAAGTGACAGTCTTCAGCTTCACCCCTGGCCCAGCCTCACCCAAAACTCACGGGACCCCAGCTCAGAACAGGGGCACCTACTCTTTCAGCAGTTTATTCTTCTGGAGAGACTGGC